CCCATCAAACACGCTCATCTCTGATGTTATCATCGACGCTAGTGATGTTTGACTTGTTACGCCTTATATAGACCGCATTCCAACCTAACAAAACTACATGTGGCATCCTAATCATAGATTTTTCCTACCAGAAAACCTCAGAAAAATATTTATCGCTAACTGTGACAGGAGAGGGGATCCATATAATCAAAATAGCCGCTCTCCATAATAAAAGTTTTGCTTCTATATACGCATATCGTTTTTATGGAGCATTCTCATATGTATTTCGTCACCTAATTAATCAAAAATAATATCAAGACATCATCACAAGACATTAAATATCGAATCTCCTTCATCAGAGCGTTTTGAACCTTTGGACCACCAGTTTTTGAGCACTCTCAACGTCATGATCGAATCTGTCACCGTGTCTCTGGTAGGAAAAAGCAGAAGCACTGAGCAACTTCGAGTTTTAAAGCAATATTTTTCAACAATACATCAGAGATGGTTTCCCTGCCCCTTAATCACATTCTATGGGGTAGAGATGTTTCCTTTTCAAAATCGTTTTACTTCATGAAATGCTTCCAATAATGGAACCTTCAATAAAACACTGGTAAATCAGATGATTTCATTTCCGACAGTTAGAATGCAACCATTCTCAAAGTGTTATTGCACACAGATTAATGAAAATGGTTCCGTCATCTATCATGTAAATATGATACTTGTTTTCTTGAAAAATAAGGTGCTGGAGCTGTCAGAAGATGACGCCATTTACAAGGATGATTCATTTTGGTAAGGTATGTGATATAATACGTTATATCCACCACATCACTTTTAACCATTTCTATCTTCCTCCTTGACCCTACAAGCTCGAAATATAAAAGTAATCAATGTCAACATGTTCAATATTTCACTCACGAAAATTCTCTTGTCGTTTCAGAATTTGAGAAAAATAGTACACGCGCTGTTACCCGAACGCAGCGCGAGTGACAGCTGCTTCCCTGTCGAGGAAAACGGCAAAAAAAAAACGAGATACCTCAAAGTTCGCAGAAAAATTATGGTGGACAACATTGAATCTCACTATAGTGTATGATAGCGCAGTGGCAGATTGGCTAAAATCGTTTTGGAACAAGAGTGAACAAGCAGTTCTCCCTCTAAAAGCACAACTAACTGAAAATAATTCACGTCCTCCTTGGTCATGGTAATAAGGATTAGAAGTAATAATATACCCACTTTTCAAGCATGAAAATGCTACTAATCACTAAAACAACCAACATCACTGAAAATCATAGCAACAAAACATTCGAAACTCCAACAGCACTGCCATCTACTCCAGATCTTATTTCAATGGTTTTTTCCATTTTCCATTTTCCATTATTCCATAATAACTACTAATCAACTTATTAAGGGAGAAAATGTCCCTGAAAAGCCCTGACTAGCGTTTCTGTAAATACCCCCTGCCAAAAAGATGAGAGAAAGATCTACAGATATATCGCCAATTGTTAAGACGATTTCTAATTAAACTAAGCCATTTCCAGTAAAAAGAATGACAAAAATTGTATAGGAAACATCAGGACGAGTCCGAGCGTACTAATACGATTTCACAGCCAAAAAGCGTTAAATAGAACTGTCAACTTTGGCAAAAATCGTAGCATTATTGGTGAGATTCATAAAGACTGTGATTGCTATCACGGTTAAGCTGGTAGTTTCGAAGGGCGCAATCTTCTATCCTCCTCATAACATCCTCAAATACTAAAATTCATAATGATTCCAAACACCGAGTTTGCCGCGAGTGAAGAGATTACGCTAACTCCACAGATTTAAAACTTTCAAGATAGTTTGAGAGGGAAAGAACTGCAGTGCAACGATGAATTTTTCTTGGCGAAAACGATGACGAAGTGATGCGACGAGTGATCGATACCAAACTCTTGTGATGATATTTAGAGTCAACGAAGAATATTTGCAAAGGAACAGAGAAAGTTAAATTGCGATAGCGTTGAGCGTACACGAGTCCGTCGGTAACTATTATAACAAGTGATCAAAACAATTTGAAACCCATATGGCTTCCATGCTTTAATGGAAGCACTCCAATCCTTCTCTTAGGAATTAGTACTGTATTCCTAATACAATACACTTAGGCACCTTAATTGCGTGCATTTATGATTTCAGGAGATTTTTTGAAAACCCTTGAGGCAAGCAAAGTAAGCCAAAGCTTTTTGGAATTTTCAACAAGTATAAAATCACAAATGTTCACTAACTCTGCTCTACTTGATGTTGAGACTCTTCTTGCACGTAGCCACGATATGAGATGCTTGGGGAAGACAAGCATCCTCAAGGTGATGTGCGAATGGCATGGGTACATCTACGCCCGTAACACGCAAAATAGGAGCATCCAAGTAATCCCAAGCAGGCGACTCATTCACTTGTGCACAAATTTCGGCTCCAATTCCTGTAACATGAGGAGATCTATATATATGATGCTCCTGATCTTTGCAAATTGAAAAAAAACTGTTACGAGAAAAACGGTAAGAAGAGCTAAGGAGGAAGTTTACATAAACTTCGTAAAGCGAACACTGTTACCTGCGAATGGCCAGCCTTGTTCGACGGTGACCAAGTGATTCGTTTTCATTATTGAATTCTGTATGGCTTCAAAATCTAGGGGACGTAACGTTCGAAGATTGATTACCTGTTAAAAAAAATGAATTCAGTCAGTCAGCCGTTTGGACTTATAAATGCCTAATATAAATGCTTTAACATTGCTTTTGGAAAGTTAAAACAAAAAACAATATCAAAAGGAAAGGAACTGCAAGAAGTTCAAGCTTGGTCTCACTTCAGCGGAAACTCCGATAGCTTCTAATTCCTTAGCAGCTGCGAGGGACAACTCAACTCCTTTCGAGAACGAAACGATGGTAACATGATCTCCAGGTCTGAAAAATCAGAAACGTAACGTCAGATGAATGTCGACTGCTTTCCTATTAACGATCCAACCGTTCGATTTTGGCCTTTCCAATAGGCAACACGAAATCTTCCTTTTGCATTTCCTCGGTAACAGGGAACGAATGACCATAAAGAATTTCGTTTTCCAGAAATACAACTGAAAGAAAAGACGAGTCTGAAGTGGACTAGAAAGCAACAAAAAGATGCCGAAGACAACGACGTCACTTGCTACAATTGGGAGCAGCGCTTAATTTATACGGAGAATAGGGAAACTTTGGAAAATTCTTCACATAAATCATATTGAATGTTCCTACGTGCCCCTTCGCAGACACCGAGACCCTATTTGCCCTCAGCTTTTCAACAGCTCTTCAGCTTATCAGCCCTCATGTATAGAATTTGAGAGCCGATAAGCTAATATTGGAAAAGAGCTCTTCTTTTAAATGCTACTCAGGTTGATTTGATGTTAACGTATAACTGCTGCCTGCAGTGCGCGTTGTGGAAGACGTCAAAACAGTGCTCCTATCACACATATGGAATAAAGAGTACAGCGCCCGGAAAGCACAACGACGGATATGAGTACAGTCCCCAACTGAAGTCTCGCTCATAGTCAACGTAATCTTGAAGAGCAGCTCAGCTCTTGTTAATCAAATTCTTCTGCGAGCTAACCAAATGGTG